CTCTAGTCCTGAAGTGCGAGAGCTTTCTGCATCAGACGACGGGTCAGAGGGGAGTTTGGCCTCACGGCATCGCGCTCTGCCAGAAGACATCTGGGGAAATTCAGCACAAGACAGCGCAAAGACATGAACACAGATTCAAAGAGACTGCAGGCTGAGATGCTAAGCTGATCAATAATGAAAGTATAACATGCTGTACAGACATGGATGTCAGTTACATAATAGGAGCATGAAAGCAGCTCGTGCTCTGTATGCAGATGGAAAGCAGTTAAAGAAAATCGGAGTGGACAGCAATCGCAACAAAACCATGTTTCAGTGAATGAAAGATGGGGTTTTATTTCCCCTCACACAATCTTCCGGCACATTCGCAAAAACACATTGATATTGGGGGGAAAACACCCCAAAGCATGAAGCCTGAAATCCCTGCTGCTCCTCACCTTCCCAGCTTCTGGTGGTGCTTATTCTCCGATTTCATCGCCGCATGAATAAGCAGCTGATTAAACAGATCCCTCTGACAACAACAATACACAAACACATTATTAGACACAAACCTCTTTCAGTTGTAAAAAGACATTCTTCATTTTGTGTTAGATTGTGTTACATTTTATGTCAACTGTGACGCCTTAGAGAACGGTTCTCAGAACAAAAATAACATAAAAGAGTTCATTATTCATACACTGGTGCGCTGCACTCCACATTTTCACACAATCTGGTATGTTCATAGATAGAAAGACTGCAGCTTTTCTGCACAACACTCCTAACCTCTGACCTGTTTTTACAGCATCAAGGATTTCACTCTTGCTCAAGAAAACAAAGTCTGAGCAATGATATCCAAAGATAGTAAAGCCTCGAGGCTTAAACATTTTCAGCAGTTCACTAGGAGAGCTGCAGTTTCAAATGATTTTCTTTAACAGTTAATAAATTCTTTCAGACTTACCTGTGCATCACTGCCACCTATGTCTACCATGCGATAGCGTAAAGGGTATAGTAGCTCCACAGTTTGACCGTAGTTACCCTGGTTGTACTCCAGCATAGCCTGGCACATTGGTATCCCTATAGTCCCGGCCAGCTGATGCTGCTGATTGTCTCCTGGCTCCCTGTGCAAGAAAAACATGGTTTAAAAAAAAGGAAACAACTTTTCTTATAAAAGGAGCCAAAGATACAGAGTAACAAGTTAAAAACTGTTAATGCTGCATCTAGATAGATAGATAGATATAATTTTATTTCGAACATGCAAATATAATTGAAATAACAACAGAAAAAAACAAAAAACAAAACTTAAAAATCATCAAGTTTTCATGTAAATATCTTTGTCTACAGAATGCGTGTGCTCGAAAAGGAGTAGGATGAAGTTTACACTTTTCTTGTTCCTACCCCCTTATTTCAAATTTCATTGCTTACAAATCCATATCCAGGATTCAACATTATTTGATTATATATGGTTAACTATGTACAAGTCTAACACATTGAACATACACAAATAAAAACCATTTTCAGCACGTAAACCAGAACAACAACAAACTACATTTTTACATAAACTAATCACTCTGTCTATAACACCCGCTTAATCTCTGAGCTTGTTTTATATCTATGTGACAAACACCTTAAGAAACACACAATGAGACGACTCAGTCACTGAGAGGAAGATTTCCTATATTCATGCAATTTATTTTTTTTGAACAATCGTGTGAATTTTTGTATTGATGTCTTGATTTCATGTGTACAGGTGTTCCACACACTAACTCCTCTGACTGTAATGCTCTGATATTTGGCTTGCTGAACACAAGGATTCCTCTCAGGTCATGAGTATTTGGTCTTATTTGGAACAAGTTCTGAATGTTGTGGGGCAAAGATTTATTTGCTGCTTTGCACATTGTTTGCGCAGTTCAAAGAAGAATGCTGATGCTTCTCAAAGAAGGCATCAGCATTAAATGTTTTGTGAGAGTAGAAATCCAGGCATCTGGTTTGTCTTGCAAAAAGAAAATTAAAGCAAACATAAAGGACACATTCTGGAAAACGACACTTTGTAGCTAGTTAGTTTATTTCTACATTTGTTGCTGACTTGTAAAGACACAGAATGTTTCCCTCTCCTTTATCTTTTGTGGTAGTTTCCCTTGTGGCAGGCTCTCCATGTGTGATAGCATGTTGGTGTCTAAGTCTGCCCTCCTCACACAAATGGAGACGAACTGAACAGAAGCGAGTTCAGTGAAGTGCATCTAATATAATGTGAATTGAAACACTTGTTATGTTGCTGTAAGTGCATTAAAAGCTTCGTGAAGTGTTAGTCCATCTGAAATGACTTCAGAGAATGACTCTCTTAGGTTTGTCTTTGGGGGAAAAAAAGTGCTGCTGTTGCACTTATCCAAACTTCTGCGGCCCAGTCTCCTCCCTGCAGCAGTCAATCTGGAGGGAAAGCTGCAAAGACATCTGAGAAAGATTCACGTCACTGTCCTTAAGCTTTCTCCGATTAGCAAATACTCCGCGTGACTGCCTCTGACTGTATAATTACCACATGGAAAAAATATGGGTTAGTTTAAACTATGCAATCCTCCAAAGACCCAGGTAATAAAAGTAATATGCTAGATGTAATTGATGCATGCTGCGCTTGAACATGCGTGCAGCTCGTCTAATACACTCAAAGTAAAGCTGCGATGAGGAGAAAATTACATTTTCTTACTTAACTCACTTTCAAAGAAATCCAACACGTCTTAAGTAATAGTGAAAGCACGACAGCTTTAAGGGCTGGTTTTAAATGTGAGCTGTTCTGTGGTTTGTAGGCTCGACGAAACGAAGAGCACCGGCCATTATAACTGCAGAATCCCTCAGAGGCATCTGCTGCAGAGGGAAGACCCTCTCTGACTGTATTCACTCTCTCGCATCCTACGCTCAGTCTCGTCTCCATTTTACATAAGGCTTGTGTTGTTCTTATGTAAGCCTGACAGAGTGTTGAGGTGTGCAGTGAAGAGAAGAAATGGCACGAAACTTACTTCGCCATTTTAGGCTGTCCACATTGCAATCACTTAGGGAACGATGGGGAAGTGATCTTGGCCAACGGATTGCAGATGAGACTTGGCATAAGA